GAAGTACTCAATTCACCCCAATACAAAAAAAAACATTTCTCAATGTGCAAAAAGGAAAAGACCACAATTACTGACTGTAAAAATGTTGTATCAGCTATAGCTAATCCTCCCCATATGAACATCTCAAAGACCTATGCAAGTCATATCAACACTATTATAGCTTTACCGGCACCATTTAAAAAAATATTTTAAGTACAGTCATGCAAATTCTATCATGTAAATGTTTTCAATGTAACATCATTACTGTAAGGTATACAGTACATTCCATGGAGTTACCTTTTTCAATGGGGTGATTGACTGATAACAAGTGTTAATATTTTGCACATCAAGTGTCAATTAGTGTAGCTATGGTCTAAGTTTATGAGGAAGTGTTATCCACTGTGAGAAGATTATTTGTTGTTTTGTAGACATGAGTTACACAACAGATTTTTGATCTTTGTGTAGAGAATTGTAACTTCAGTTAGAGAATTGTGTGATCTGTTTTGCAAAACACTGCTTAGCATCTGCATTTTGTGTGATATCAATGAGAAATGGTATACTGTTGTAGAGAAATGGTTTTCTGTTTCGATGGCTGTGCTGTTGGTTTGATGAAAGGAATTTTGATTCTAAATAGTGGGTTTAGCGATTGAGAAAAACTGTAATATCAGTTTAGTTTAGCCTATTCTGATCATGCAAGTAAAACTGGGCAATAGGGTCTTCTCCCCACTTGGAGAGGGAATGGTGTCAGACAAGGAGAGACTTTGTCCCCAGTTCTTGTTAATCTTTATGTCGAGTAAGCAACAGTTAAAACCTGCAATAGTGGTTGCATGATTGGTAATAAAGAAACATGATGTAGATAATCTTATATTCCTAAATAGGGCTGCAACAACAACAACAAAGAGAAAATAAGTAATCTCCATATTTGAAAGGCTGGAAACCGCATTTTCTGCCAATTTCTGCCATAAAATTATGATTATTCTTCAACTAATTTTAAACATTCGATGTAAAAACATGCTATCTTAATATGCTTTTCCATGTCTGTTATCCGGACCCTGAGTCTGTACTGAAGTTTGATTTCTTGTTCTGCCACAGTCAACAGTGTGTGCCAAGATCATGGAGCTGCTGGGCCAGAACAAGGTGGACCATCGCCAGAGGAAGGTGGCCATCATCAGCCAGGACAGCTTCTACAGAGTGCTGACGGCCGAGCAGAAGGGGAAGGCACTGAAGGGCCAGTACAACTTTGATCATCCAGGTATGGTTAAAGGGTGCTTCTTTTTTTTAACTGTAACTGACATTTAATCACAATTTCTACAGCCTATATGAAATATCAGTGTAGAAATCACAGAAAATGCTAGGGGAGGAAATAATCACAGCTAAAGTGACACTCATTATGATTACATAAATCAAATACTTACTCATTTGCCGAGGGAGAAATCCCAATGGCGGTATAAATTAAATCACCGCCTCGATATCGCTCATATCTGGAATTGTTGTCAGGCTTTGTATGCCGGATTTCTGTGGATCCCTGTAAAATAAATGGTGTTTATTGTTTAAAGGCTGCATGCAGAGTCTTACATTTCTGCTGTTTCCATTTGTCTTGCAGAGGCGTTTGATACGGACTTAATGTACCAAACCTTGACAGACATCGCAGAGGGAAAAGTGGTTCAGGTGCCAACGTATGACTTCGTAACTCATTCCAGGTAAGAAGGAAGCAATTCACATTGGCCCTTCCCATTTCACTAATTCCCCTCCTCGACTCCTATCCTCGATACTTAGTCCCGCCCACAGGAGATGCGAGCGGAGGACTCGAGGAGGGGAGCCGAGGAGAGAGGGGGGGAAGCA